TCTGGGCTACATATTGAGTTTAGGACCAGCCTAAATTATATAGTGAGACCCTGTCTTTAAAAAAAAAAAAAAAGACACTGTATCTGTGATAGCGGCTCTGCTCAGAGCCATTTGTCCCAGGGAGCTCCCCCTAGATTTCTGCTCCAGCATAGACTCCTCGCCTGACTACTGGAGCATGGAAAATGAACTGTAATACATTTTGCAACCAAACAGGAAAAAGAACAGTAAGATACCGTGCGTAGGGGCATTTCTGACCTTGTACCACGATGAAGCAAGGACAAAGACAAGGTGCAAGCTTATGGAGCAAAGGGCAAAAGGAAAAACAAAAGAGATTAGTTTATCAGAGGGAAGACTGAGAGGAGGAAGAGATGTAATACGAATATTAAATCCCCGCCTGCACTTCACTGGTGCCAGCTCCTGCCTTTGGGGTCTGCACTGGCACCTCATCTCTTCCCCCTTTAGCATCCCTGTTGCTCCCTTCAAAAAACATGGGACATCTTTAGCTATCTCCTTATGAGCAAAGAAGGGATTCTAAAATTGTATTGCCTTCCCAAATCCCACCACAATACACACTTCGACCAGGGAACTACCCCCAGAACAAGGCAGTATCCTACGTGACAAAACCCCACAGGGGTCCAAATGTAAATAAGCTACCAGTTGGTTTTCTTTGGACGCGCAACCCTTTTTCAATGTTGGACTTGTTTAACTGGAATAATAATAATCTGCCCTACGAAGAAAATCCCCTCCCATGACTGGATTCCTCAACTATATCTTTGCAACATTATCACCCTTGTTGGGGAGATATACAGACTCTGATGAATATACTGTTAACATGAGATGAAAAGAGACTGGTGATTAACAAGGCTACAGAGGAGGCACTTCTGCTCCATCTAGCAGATCCAAATGGAGCCCTTGATGCTAATATAGCCATTCCTATGGCAGATCCTTCGGAACACTATCAGAGATCCATTCTATTTGGCTTAAGGAAGGGGATACCTGGACAAATTCGTAATGAGATTTGGGAATTATGACAAAAGATAAAGAAGGGCCCATCCCATTCGTGAAGAGGCCACATCAGGCATACAGGAGGTATACTGATGTTGACTTTGAGGGACCAGAAATCCTAAGAATGGTGAAGACGACATTTAAAAGTGAAGGGCCCCAGACACTAAAGAGAAAGCTGTAAAGGACTGAGGGAGCTTTGAAGTTGAACCCATCCCAGGTGTTGGTTACAGCATCTAACATGCTTAACAAAGAGAAACTGCAGGAGGAGGAGGAGGACACAAAGAAACACGTTTCTTTGCAGGCCACTGCATGAGACTCTCAGAAAAAAAAAGTCCCTCTGGCCAGGCGTGGTGGCGCATGCCTGTAATCCCAGCACTCAGGAGGCTGAGGCAGGAGGATCGTTGCAAGTCTGAGGCCAGCCTGGGCTACAAAGTGAGCTCAAGGCCAGCCTGAACTGCATAGTCAGACCTGGTCTCAAAAAGACAAAAAAGAAAAAGAAAAAGAAAAAAAGTCTCTCAAAGAAACTAAGCTCCTCTTGGCAAGGATCAATGTGCCTACACTGACGTATAAGAAGGAAGAACACTTGAAGAAAGATTGTCCTGAGTGGAAGAAGGTACAAATAGCCAACAAAGGACAGAAGGTTCAGGGCCCACAGACAGTGGGGAAAGAACAGTCAGATACAGAATGAAGAGGGACAGAGGCTTCCTTGGATTAAGACATGCGATAGAAATTTCCCTCACAGGAGTCCCAAGCAAAATTGACAGCAAGAACAAATTAATAAATCTTCTGGGGGACGCAGGCACTGCTTATCCAGTACTGAATGACACATCTTAATTCTTTTTTCAATCCCTTCTCCTCCCTTCTCTTCCTGCTCCATCTCTTGTTCCCCTTCCCACGTCCAAAAGCTCTATTTCCATTTATTTCTTCAATTCTTTGTTTTCACTGATTTTTCCTTCCTTCCCCTCCATCGCTTGCTCCCCTTCTCATTTGAAAAAGGTCTCCCTACTTCCTGTTATCTTAATACAAAGGACTTTAAAAGAGGTTGAACCCCAATATTCCAAGGTACGAGTGGCAGTTTATAAAGAAGGGAAGTGGATTAATAGTTAGTACAAATTAGGCAGATGCCTGTTCTACATGTGTGAGGTGGCTGGCCCTCAGATCCTCCCATATTTCCAGCTCCATGTTAAGCAGTTCCACTCCACCATGCCCCCTCCTTCACCCACTCTCCGCAGCAGGTAGCCAGAGCACTCATTATTTCTCATACGACCCTGGGAGGGGACAGTGCAGTGAGGGCACAGCCCTCCTCAGTCATTTACACAGCAGCAGGGTGATGTACCCGACACTTCCCTAACCTCTCCTCCCCTTCTAGGGACTGATGCAAAGCATCATATTACCAGCTACCGGGTTTCATCCATCATTCCCGCCTAAAGATAAAAGAAGTTTTAAAATCTGTGCTAACATGGTCTTTCAGGAAGTAGTCCACCACCTTCTCAATCTTGCCGACTTACCAAATCTTTTTCTTGCCCCAATAACCTGTCCTTGATTCATTAAATCTTTTTCAAGCAGCAAGTGAATGGAACTAGGTTCAGCAACACAGTGATACTGATATCATCTCCATGTGGATTACTGGCTCAAGAATCCCAAATTAAACTCTGGCAATTATCCATACTGAAGGCATATAGCCTAGGAGAAAGTATTTGATTGGCTTAGCACTGCAAATTAAGTTAGAAAGTTAAAAAAAAAAACAAGCATCAAGGTCACAGAGACAAATAGCCCCCCAAAAGACGTTAAGTCACACAGATTTGATCAAGAAACAATATGCCAAGATATATACTGAGAACCAGAACAGATTCATCTGAATGACTTCTGCCAAGGGTACCATGTAGTAAATAATTTTCCTGAATCATTTTTTAAAATTAACCTGCGTATTTCTTTTATCCAGTGTACTCAGGGCTAAACAGGTGAAGTGAGTGGTACCAAAAGAAGTATAACAATTTGTTGAATTAACTTAATTAAATGAATGAAAACATAGTAGAGACTCTATTCTTAGGAGCTTATGATACAGCTGGGAGCAAAATTAATACAAAAAAAGTCAATTATTAAATACTTTATTTAAGTATAGTATGTTGTCAAGTTAGGGCAATGGTGTGATTTCTTAATTGTACAAATGAAAATATGTGTAATATTTTCATTTTAAAAGTTTGGGAAAATATTTCAGTAATGTAACATACAATTCTTGAATAGCCAGAAGAATTTTCTCCCTTTACTGGATAACAGAGGCATATAAATTAAATGATCTTCTTTGCACAAATTATTCCCCCTCCAAAGTAATCAGAAATAATTCTATATCTAAGAAGCATTTACAATCCCTCATAAATTGAGTATGAAAAGGTATGAAAAGAGAACAAATTTTAAACCTCAGTGCAGAATTTTAATATACTGGCTTTACATTGTCTTTAACCATTAACTTTCTTTTCATGCAAACCACAGGCTGGACTGCGGGCTCTTTAAAGTCAGATGACAGCTAGTGTGAGACTTCTGCTTAAGAATTCACTTAAATTCTCAAATTCTGAGTATAAGGCAACAGCTCGCAACTAATTTGAGAAACAAAATGTAAGTGTGAAGTTACATGTTCTACCAGGTCAGTGAGAGCAGGTGAAGAAATGCCTAGAATGCAGCAGAGTAAAGATCTGTTTTATCTGTTTCAGTGTATCTCCACATATTTCACCAGTTTGATACAGGCTGGGAATATAGTTTAAAAGGTTTTATTTCTCATTTTAAAGTGTATAGACACACACATAAAGGTTAAGCCTATCTGTAACTTTCATCTCAATGCCATTACTTCAGTAAAATACATGACTTTCTTCTTAACCCATTTATGCCTAGTGTTCCATTTTTGGAATACCACAAACAATGGAACATAATAAAAACTTTTCTCTTCAAATTCTTCTTCCTTAAATTTATCTAGGTATGAATTTCAACTGATAACTTCATAATTTGACACATCCAGGAAAGGGAATTAAAGCCTGAGTGAAATGCAAGTAGCCAAAGGCCAGTGGGTGAGACCGAGTTAAAAAAGCTAAACGTCCTCTGTCTGCATAAACTCTTCTAGCTTAGAAGCACCACATTTGAAGCCATCCGAAATGCTACATTTCTTCTCTGTACCTGGAACTGTTAATGCCTGATATATTTTAGATATTACTATGCCTTCCAATTAGCAGATCTGTTCAACAGCTAACTTTATATTTGTTTCCCATATCATGAAGAGATTAAGAAAACTATTTCCAAGATAAATCAAGAATAATTTTTAAGAACTCAGGAATCTTGATTTAAAACACAGATTTGACTTACAATTATAGTACTACTAGGGTATCCTACTCATATTTTTGAACAGATTTTCAATATATAAGTAAGTCTCTGCTTGGATAATATTCAGCTTCAAAAGAGCTATAAAAGGTTACTTTTTAAAGTGCAATATTTATAATTTTGAAAAATGGTATAATAAAAATCAACATGAATCCAGTAACACTGAAATATTACATTATTCCTCACAAGAGTTCAGTGCAAAACAGATCTGATATTTTGCATTCAGTTCATGTTTTTATCTCTATTCCCAGGTAAATATTCTCTTTCAAAACTAGTGCTTTGCTTCTTATAAAGATATTTAATTCACTGTTACTGCACATTTGTTATTTTTAATGATCATTTATGAGTAATTATTTATTACCTTTCTAAAATGTTAAGGTAAGAATCATCATTATATTGACTAATACAAAATACTTTTTTTTGGTGATACTGTGGATTGAACCTAGGGAGTGCCAACTCTCTTTACTTTTAATTGATTTTTAAAAAAATTTTAACAGGGTCTCATTAAGTTGCCCTGGCTGGTCATGAACTTGCAATCTCCTGCCTCAGTCTTCTGAGTAGCTGGAATTGCAGGTATGTGCCACCAGCCCTGGCCCACAAAATACTCCGAGTGCTGTATTTCTTATATATTTTTTTCAATAGCTCCCTACATTGAGTTTTGGGGAGTAAAAAAAAAAAAACACTCCCTACAGTCATGAAATCTGCGCAGTACATTACTGTACCAGATATTAAAACCTTAATACTACATAAGGATTAAGCTTTATCACCTTTCAGAATTTCTAAAGAATGGGCCAACTGTGCCATAATTAAAATTGCATATTATTTTGCCTATCTGCTTAACCAAGAGTGATGGCTCTCCAAGAAATACAGTCTAACTTCATGTCTTTATCTAACTAATACTTTTTTCCTAACCTGTAAAAAACTGATGGTCTGAGCACATGCTGAACCATTGCAAACCATTAGCAGAGCTACTGAAGCACTGACAACTAATCAATGTTCTGTAAATACTCTTATTTAGACAAAAGTCTAAAAGGTTAATGTCTAAAAATTTCAACCAGATACAGTGGAAAAATTCACCACAATTAGGCAATATAATTTTGTACTTTTGAGATAAAATATGTAAGTCAACACCTGTTTACAACCCTTGCAAAATGTCTCTATACCAAATTACTACAGCCCATAAAGTAATCAGCAGTAGATGATACATACCCTTTAGCTAAAACACAGCTGGTCACACACTGTTCTTTTCAGACAATCATATAAACATGAGAATCAACATTTGTGGAATCAATATGTTTGATTAGTAAATGTCACCCGTGTAGGTGGGGTTTATAACCAATAGCCAAAGTGACTCAAATCACCACTATAAACAAACAACCTCTAATTATATCATGAGTTGTAATCCTCCATCCACCACTAGAACATGTCCCGTAACATACGGAGATTCTAAAAGAAACACGACTGCATGTGCCACTTCGATAGTTTCTCCAAACCTCCCAAGAGGGATGTTTTTCTTTAAATGCTCCTCTTTCAAGTCTTTCGTCATGTCTGTACGGACAAACCCTAAAAGAAAAATGTTTATTTAGTTGAAAAGATTAGACACTAAGATATCTGCTCAATTTAAACAAATGAATTTACAACTGAAAATGAGATTAATAAACCTTGTTTATAAAGCAGGGTTCTGTTGCCAGTTAAATAACTATGTCTACAAATTTACTCACTTTAACTCAATGAGCATTTACTGAACACTAAAATATCTTACCCCCAAGAATTTGGCCCAACTTCTGACAAAAATGGAAGGGTAATGCTGCATTATGCAATCAGTGGATTCAAACACAAATGAAACAAAATTCTGTTCCTTGGGGAACATAAAACTGATGGAGGAAACAGTCACTCGCACAGCCAATTATGTAAAAAATCAGCTGAATATCCTATAGAGGTACAAATCAAATGTCATGAAAATTACTTTTACTCGGTAGGGGCAGAAGAGTAAGAGGTAGTGTGAAGGGAAAAAGACAGCACAAAGGTGGTCACACAAACTCATGTGGCAATTCTTTTGTTCTTGTTTTTTTTGTTTTTTTGGTACTGGGAACTGAACTCAAGCACTTGAGAGGCAGGTGCTTGTGCCGCTGAGCCATATCCTCGGCCCTTGATGTGGCAATGCTGACAAAAACTACACACTTCCATTTGCTACCAAAGACTGTGATTAGAAAGCCCAGTGTTTCCAGTATCTGTATAAAAAAATCTTATAGTCATATCCAGTGCTGATACAAATATATATAAAAAATTCAAAATTCAACTTGGTATTGGTACATGTAGACAATAAGGGTTTTAGAGAACATGTTCCAGAGCTCTACAGGATAAAGTACTACAAAGTCTATTAAACAGCCAATTCTAAATTATTATACACATAGCAAGAAAAATTACAGATTTATGAGAAAAATCTCATCTGAGACTTAAAAATATATGTTACTAATAAAATGCTTAACCTGTAGCCAACATTTTGTATACTGCTGAATCATTCAAATTTTTAAAAAGAAATTGCAATATTAATCTTGGCAAAAGCAACAATCTGAAAAACATTTTTTAAAGTCAAGGTCGCAAAAAATAGATGGACTACAAGTCAGACATGGCACGTGAAATGGAAGTTCAATATACAAACTCAAAAATAAAGTTTTAAAATTGGCTTCCATAAAATTAAAATATTCATAATTCAAACTATAAATCAACCTAAGTATACTATGATGTAAAGTACCATTAAAAAGTACCATGATAAATGTGAGCTAGTTACCAGATTAAGAGTTAATTAGTACTTGGCAGTCCTATATGTCAGTACTCTCATTTACGTAGGAAGATCACATGCTTGAGGCTACGCTGGGCAACATACCAAGACCTCCTCTCAAACAGATGAAAGAAGAAAAGTACGGCAATGGGTTAACTTAAATAACTTTACTTTAGATTTTCACTTATAAATATCTATATATTTTCTTAAGTCTTGTAAGAAGTAATCATAGATTCCATCATGGAGCCTACGCTAGCAATAGATTGTTAGCACAAAAACCAGAAATAAGCTGAAAGTCTTTCAACAAGGAACTGGTTAAATAAGGTCACGATGTATCCACACAAAAGAATGACATGCAAGTTTTAACAGTGATGCCACAGAAGCATATTTAAAACAAATGAAAAATAACATTTGTATGTTTAAAAATATAAATGTTACATTATATCATTATTAAAACAAAAACTAATACATAATAACTAAAAATATACTAACAGTGTTATCACTAGTTACTGAAATAACAGGTGATGATTATTTTCTTTGTACTTCCCTGCTTTTTGTCAAACTGCCCACAAGAGATGCATATTATTCTTGTGTTGAGACAAAAAGTTACTGCGAAGTATGCACAATACTAGTTTTAGATGGTTTGTAATATAGGCCAGAAATAACAGAACTAATTTTGCATTATTTCTGTGTTCCACTGTGAGATTATATTGTGAAGTCCAACCTCCTCTGCCATACAATCTTACACTCACTTGAAAAGTCAGCAATATTGCCTTCGTGTCCTTTCATCTCTAAGAACAACGAAAGCAGGCAAGGATAAAAGGAGAAGCAGCTGACAGATAATGATAACCAGCCTTGCAGAATTTCAAGTGAACTGTACGTGAAACCCAGCTTACAGTAAGGAATCATAACAACCAGCGGGCAATCCAGTCAGCCTAGGGATACTATCATGGGGGTTCCCGATACACAGTTTTCTTTCTTTCCGTGCTTCTTGTCAAAACTGCCTCAAAGAATAGCCTAGGAAGAAAACCCACCTCGTATCTATTACAAAAATTAAGTGAATTAAAATTATGAATGTAACATTAAAAAGTTCATCTTATCTTCTCAAAGAGTTCATGACACAATTATCCATTACTCTAAAGTCTTTCTGAATTCTAACAAAATTGGCATAAAATACTCCCCACGAACTCCACAAACTCTCCGCAAGAAAAATCGCTGATTTGTTTTTGCAGAACTGAGGACTGAACCCTGTACTTTGGTATTGATCTACATCCCCAATCCTTTTTATTTTTTAAGACAAGGTCTGTGAAGTTGTCCAGCCTGGCTTCAAACTTGCTTCTGTCATCCTCCCAAGTAGCTGTGATTACAGGAATGTGCCACCATGCCTGGCTTAATAATGCAACTTTTGAAATAGGGTCTCACTATGTAGCCCTGGCTGGCCTCAAACTCACAATCCTCCTGCCTCAGCCTCCCCAGCGCCGGGAATTACAGGCACATGCCACCACTCCCGGTGTAAGTATTCATTCAAATCCATAAAAAACAAGTATAAGCAGGGTGCAGTGGCACACATCTATGTCAGCACTGGGAAGGCTGGGGTAGGAAGATTCTGAATTCAAGGCCAGCCTAGACTACCTAGAGAGGTCCAGACCAGGTTAACTATAGAATGAGACTCATTTATGCACGCATGCACACACGCACACAGGAAACTACTGCAGAAATGGTTTGCAATAAAGACCCTTCTGAGTACGGATTAGAAATTCAGGCTTAACTGGCTAGCTCTGGTGGCAGTATTTTCTAGTAAAAAGACGACTGGGTTAGGACACATTAAACTATGATCGGAGGAAAGTTATCTACAACAATATACCTGTTCTATATCATAAAATGAATGGAGTAGATTAAAAATGACAGATCTTTGAGGTTTCTTTTATCTCCACAACTCTTTGATTTAAAGATGAAAAGTATGCCTCACTAAGTAGTCTTCATGATTTCCTAATCCTAGCTGACATTTAGGAGAGGGAGCTCTCCTAGGAGACGGCTCTGGGAATCACAGATACGGAGCGTGTCCACATGAGGCGAGACTGGTAAAAGAGGGCGGCGCTCTCTGAGTCCAATTTGGTTACACACAGTCCAGAACTAGGATCACGATGTCCAGCCACCCACTTCACAGGAAGACTCTTCTGCTACCGCTCAAGCATAGACGATAAGGATGTTCTTTCATTCGTGGAAGCCTCTACAGCCTTTCTCCAGATCTATGAGCAGACAACTGGAATGGTAAACTTCACGTCACAGACAGCTGTCAGCCATCAAGGAACTGTGCAGTAAAAGTCTAAAAGCAAAGTGGGTGTGAGGCCAAGTTAAAAGGAAGGGATGAATTCACCAAAACGTACTGATTTTTCCTCTTAGATTGTTGGGTATGGAGGACAAGAACACGTTCAAAGAGCATTTCTCTCATCATTACCTGCAGTTTTTTGTTAGCAGACTATTCTTGGTGTAATTTTAGGTTTACAGGAATATTAAGCAGAAAAACCAGAAAGTCCCTATCCACCTCCGTACCACAACGCCCTCCACCTATTCCTCCCTATTATTAACATTCTACTTCGGTGTGGTACATTTGTTACAATGGATGAACCAATATTGATACAGTATTAAGGAAAATCCAGAGTTTATATTAGGGTTCTGTGATAGTTAACAGCTTGAGTCAACTTGAGTAAGAAATGCCCAACTAAATTGGCTCAGCATATTTCTGGGTGCAAGACCCACCCTAGGGAGAACTGTCGCCACAGTGGTATAAAAGAGAATAAAGAAGGACGGCTGGCTTCTGTTTCTTTAGAGAGGCTCAAGTCTTCGCCTTCACCTTGGGCGTTGTCTCCTGACTTCCAATGCAGACCCTTCGGCCTCCCAATACGGACTCACACGGGACCCTACAGTGAGCTCCAGGCCTTCAACTGGATTCTTCAGACCCCAGTGCAAAGACAGCCTTCTCGCATTCTTCCACACCTGACTCTATAGGCAGCCGCTGTAGGCCAATCTTGTAAATTCTTATATATTTATATATCTTGCATTAAATGTTTCTCTAGTAAGCACTAACTGATACAGGCTCCTTCTAGATTGTACAGTTCTCTGGATTTTGACAAATGCATAATATCATGTTGTACCAATTACAGTTACACAGAATAGTTTTACTGCCCTACTCTATCTGCAGCCTTTAGGAATGCACGTATGTCATCAGAAATTTTTAAAATGTGAAACTGGTTTCTAATGATAAATTACTCTGAGATCTGCCAAATGTCAGTGTCATTTAACGCTGAAGCTCACGAATGACATGAACCTCATTTACAAATATATTCCCAGCCCAAGGCATTATGCATAACCAGTCTTTTGAGTTTTATGTCATATTATCATAGACCTGAGAAAAGGTATTACAAGTCGTTAAATATCCCACATGCCTATCCTTGTGCTTGTATTATTTTCCAGTCTATGCTTTCTTTCCCTGGCCCCAAAAAACTCTTTCTCATGTTATTCTTTTATCTTGCTCGGAAAGTTCTGGGAATTTTGTTCTATCCTTCCTTTTATTAGGTATGTGTTTACAATGACTTTAGGGCTGTGCTATAAAAATTAGAAACTACCAGTAGATGCCACTGTCCAACAAATGATGTTATGACATTATTTCACTGGACAGAGATTTCCAAATGTTATAAACTTAATGCTCCTTAAATTAATAAATAAATAACTGAAATGGCATGCACTCAACCAATTTAGAACAAGGACATTTCCATTTTAC